TCGACATCCTTATGGATCTTGATGCAGTTGTTTGTTTCAAGCTGTTTTGACGTGATCCTTGGAGTTTTTACATTCGTAACGTTTCGCCGTTCTTCGCTGACAGCATCTTCAGAGGTGACTTGACGGTTGCTGGGTCGTTACTGGCGCGGTTTGTGACCATATTACCCTTTTTATACTGAAGTCGTCACAATAATTGAGTTTCTGCTTCGGGGTTCATGTTGTCTTATTTGTTTTAATTTTTTTCCGGATTATTGCATTCTGTTTTTCATTACAAGTTTCCAAGCTTTACTTATGTGCAACCCATCATCTTTATTTATGTTATTTGGTTTTTTATCTATTTCCAAAACATCACGCCTAGACAGATTGTAGTAACCCAAAGTCCTAACCAGGACGGATGTGTTCTCAAACTATGACTATGGTATGACTTTCTTGGAGCGTATGGTGAGCTATTGCAGATTTTCCAGGTTGGCCTAATGTAATTGCTCGTTTGTTTCTTTTCTTCCTTGTATGTATGCTGCGCTGTAGTCTATGCCACATTCGCAAGATATACGATAAATTCCCTTCATTAGCATAAGGAAGAAAGAACACGAACGAGCAATTTGACTACTTCAACCCGGAAAATCTGTCCTGGTTAGGACTTTGAGTTTCTACAACCTGGCTAGGCGTGAAACTTTGGAAACAGAACAATAACATAATCAATGATGGTGGATTATACATAAGTAAAGCTTGGAAACTTATAATAAAAAATAAACAGAACGCAATCAACCGCGGAAAAGTCACAGAAACACAACAGTCTGAGCCCAACGAAGCTGAAACTGTGACGACTTCAATATAAAAAGGGTAACATGGTCAGAAACCGGGCGGCATGACCTAAAGGTTTAGACCATTGCTTATCATTCGGGAGGACGCCGGTTCGATTCCGGGTCAGTTTGTCTTGGTCCAAGTTTTACTGTGGTTTCCTTGGATCACTTAGACAAATGCTGGGGTAGTAATATTCCGCAGATAATCATTCATTCTCTTCTGTCTTCATTTTGTCCGTCTCATTTTTCTCACCCGAACCACCACCCTCCCATTCCCACGATTCCTGAAAGCAGGCTGAAGAGGGCCTTCCGCCCTAGCTTGCGGCGTAGTCCGGAGGGACTACCGCCCACCAGCATTACTGGCTGGTGGGAACGAAACACCCAAAAGTTTTTTTTCACAAACCGCGTCAGTAACGACCTTGCAACCGTCAAGTCACCGCTGTAAATGCCGTCAGTGATAAACGGTGAAAAGTCCTAAGATCACGGCAAAACAGCTCGGATGAAATCACCACATTCAATGTACGTCGGGCGTGAAAGACTCATGTGGACCTTGCTGAACAATACTGAATTCCACTAAAGGTAGCAATATGTATGCTACAGATGACGTTTACCACACTGTTTGTAGTAATTCATCAATATATTGTCATAATGATGCGAATTTTATATATATATTTATTTATTTAGCGATGTGATATATTTATTTTGAGATATAACTTTAATGTAGTATAGCAAGTGAATTTATCTATCACCATAAGGTCGTCAGTCCTAAGACTGATTGGACACGCACCTCCACTCCTGGGCTAATCTTCGCATTTTCGTAAAACTAGAACAACCCACATCATTAACTATTTGCGAACAGTAATCTAATCTAGGCTTCCCTCTACCCCTCCTAACTCCTGTTTCTGACTAGAACTTCATGCCTGAGAAAGTGTCTTACCAACCTATTACGCTAGTTGACTTCTATAGAGTCCTCTGTTCTCCTATTCTTTCCAATACCTCTTCATTTCTAACCTTCTCTATCCATGGTATCCTCATCATTCGCCTGTAACACCACATTTCGAACGCTTCTAACCTTTTCTTTTCCGCAGCGCCCACCGTCCATGTTTCTCACCCGTGAAGCGCCGCGCTCCAAATATACATCTTTAACAACCTTTTTCGAATACCTAAATTAACCGTTCGCGAGCATAGAAGTGACTTCTTTTTATTGAAGACTCGACCCTGCGCTATCCTCTGCTTTAAATCCTTACACTCCTGACTTATCTGACTTCCTAGATACCTAAGTTCTTCTTCTAAGTTTCCATCTCCTACCTTTATATTCGCTCTTTCCCTACTTTTTCTTCCCTTCTATACCAGTATTTTTGATTTACTTTTATTTATGTTCATTTATACAATTTAAAATGACCAACAGTTTAACTATAATGAATTAATAATCCAATAATGTAATAATAAATTTAGCTTATCTTGTTAGATAATTAAGAAACGTAGAAAGGGCAGCTAACCGTCTCACCACCCTGCATCTTCGTGCTCTTAAATTGAACTCCCGACTCTCGACTTTCTTACTATCGTTATTGATTCAACTATTTAAACGGTTGCTTATTGATCTACTAACTCAGTAGGTAAGTAAGTGTTAGCTTGCTATTTTAAATAAGTAATGTAAATGTACCAACTGTGTACCGCGAGCTAAATGTGAATTTATGGAGGTAACAATATATTTAATTCCTTTTTTATTATTCTGAACGGAATATTTGTATTCGGAGTAATGAGGCACATTCCTTTCCATCATAGAATTAAATTGTTTATAATCAATGTCTCGCCATCGGTGGAGTTTGACGACCGTTTCAAAAACTTTTCAAATAATTACCAAATCAATCTCTTTTGTGTTTTGTTTACGACCTGGTTTTAATTCTGGCGTAGCCGTGGGAGCATTTTATAATACGCACACGTAGGCGAACCGTTTGATGATAAAGATCTGTCATTTACTCGACCAGTCAAATTGAAACAATCCATTTCAAATAGGCACTAACTAGTCCTATCGACACAAAATGAACTATCTGGACTGCTTATTTATACTTTCACCCTACTATAAGGGATGCTTAGCATCAATCAGACAATCAATGAATACACAGATTATTCGATATTACATTTGAATTTAGATTCAGACTAAAATACTGAAAATATCGTATCAATTTCTACATTGGATCACACATATCACCATTCAATTACTCATATTTCAGAAGCCATTCAGCTATTTAGCACCTAGTTTAAAACAAAATTTGAGTGCGAGAAAATGGGCGATTTTTACGGTCACTCTTTCAAATGCCCAATAGATTATGTTTTTATCATTAGCTACAGAATGTTTGTGAATTGTCGAATTGTTTGTAGAATTTTGAATCATTATATTCTCATAACGCATTATTAATATTAAATTATGTATTAAGATTTGCGATCCGATTCATATAGTGGTTAGTGTTCTGTCGAAATTGCAAGATATGTGGATCGAAATTAGGTCCTTCTTGGGACTCGTCAGCACGTCGTAGACAGTTCCGACAGACCAACTATACTACCTGCTGCCTTCAGATAACGTTTTATGAATTACTACAAACAGCGTGGTAAACGCCATCTGTAATATATTGCTACCTTTAGTGGAATTCAAAAATGTTCAAGGATATCTTAATGCTGTTTTAAGCAGGTTTTCACGACCGGCGTCGAATATAGGTGAATTGTTGTTCGAGCTGATGGGCCGAGGTCTGTTGGGAAAACAACCCATCAGCCCAGACAACAGGGATATCTCAACTTGTCGAACTGAAAAATAATAATAGACGTACGAACCATTTAGACATTAGTATAGATTTTCTTATTTAACTACGCTACGGTGAAGATCAGAGGGTGGTTTGTTTTATTATTAGAATTACAAGAATTATATAGATGATGTCAGATGAATTAAGTTTTTTATAAAATTCTTTTCTTTCCAGATGGCCAAGTCCAACAATACGGTGAAGTAAATCAGTTGGGTGGTATTTTTGTGAATGGTCGTCCACTACCAAACGCTGTCAGACTTCGAATAGTTGAACTATCCCAGGTGGGTATCCGGCCGTGCGATATATCCAGACAACTCCGGGTGTCTCACGGATGTGTCTCAAAAATCCTCGCTCGATACCACGAAACAGGGTCAATTCTTCCTGGCGCCATCGGTGGATCTAAACCCCGCGTTACAACCCCCAAGGTGGTAGCCTTTATCAAGGAATTAAAACAAAAAGATCCAGGCATTTTTGCCTGGGAAATACGAGACAAGCTCCTAGCAGAAGCAGTTTGCGACAAATACAACGTTCCGTCCGTGAGTTCCATTAGCAGAATTCTTAGGAACAAGATTGGGACATTGTCACATCACTCTTATCACCCCTATTACAAAAGCGTCTACTCGTCATACAATTATCCGAATCAGAAAGTTCAAAGGTCGCAAACACAAAGGCCGAGTCCTGTTTCGTGGCCTAGCTCTCACAGTGTAACCGATATTTTGGCCGGAGTCCACGCGGCTGCATTTAAGCCTCCACCATCATCGCCGTCGATGGCTCTTCCTTCAGGACCTTCTCCTACAGGATCCGACCACAGCGCTCAAAATTATAACTATTACATGTACCTTCAATCGAGTAACACGGAAACGATGTACATGATGAATTCGGGAATGAGTCACCCACCACTCCATGCACCCGGATCTCATTTTTGAGTGAAAATGCGTTCGGTGGAATTCGGCAAGTTATAGACTTTTTGACGTAACGCATAAGTGCTTCTGTGATACGCGCACAATACAGTGACTTTAATTATAAAACTATAGAATCTTACTTTTAATAAAAAAAACGTTGATGGTAAGTGACTTAAGAGCATCAAAGTGGGTTCACGTAACATAAATTAAGCCAAAAAACAGTGTATCCCGCAGAATGAAGCAAAAATACTTATATTTTAACATATGTGTAAATCCCTACGTTAACACCAAATTTATTATTTAATTGTTAAAGTAGTTATCGCTACTGGTCACCCAAAACCCCCTGGAATAATTAGGAGTGCGGAGGTAAATAGACACATTTAAGCTTACCCAGTGGAAATTTATAATTGACTTTATCAATAAAACGCAATGTTAGTTTCAATAAAATTATTTTAACAACATTTAACTATTGCTTCGCATTACTAAGGCTTTATGAGGAGTATAATAACATTAAAATGCGAAACGGAAAGGTCTCAGGAGATCCGCGAGATACGGTGGTTTTTGTCCTAATAAAAGTATACAAAATTCTGGGAAAAGCAACCATTCTGTATTTAACTGTAACAATAGCATATTTTTCATGACCAAACCAGTAATAAAAGGTCAAACCCTAACGGTTCATTTTACGAAAGGGACAAGTATCGCTATTTTTGTGAAAGAATGATACCTAGAGATGATGAGATTCGGACTTTCGATCTTACGCAGCATTCAAGTACTAGTAACGCAAATTTTGAAGCCTTTTAACCCTCCCTCCCCCCTTGTAACGCGCCGTAACGTTTTTCTGTACCCCCTACCCCTCTCTAAACGTTACGTAACACTCAAGTGACCATTTTTACCTAAAAGTCGCAAAAGTTATGTTGCGCAAATCATGTAACATGATTTATATGTTCTGCAAACTTTTCTTTATTTTTTATTTTTTCATTAGCCGTTTTCCAAATTTCGTTGACATTTTTTTTGACACAGTTGGCAAATCTGCATGAGAGCCTTTATAGGCAAGAATAGCTGATGATATCTCCCTCTTTTAAAGACATTACAGTATGAACAGTACGAACTCACTTTAATAACACCGATTACAGCAATGTGCTTCTGCATAAACTCTAACGAATGCTGACAACGAAAAAAACATTAAATGACGTACAATACAATCGAGGGATTCCCCGTAAAACGTAAACGAAACGGGTTGCCAATTTGGAAGTTTTAATTCCCTAATTCTTTATTTAAAAAAAGAAACAATGTTACGTAACGTGTTGTAAGAACGTCCCCCTCCCGCTCCTGTAATGCATCGTAACGTTTTACGAGGCCCCCTCCCCCAAATTGCGTTACGTAATACTTGAACGCCCTCTCACGTTGATATAATAAATTGGGCACAATTATTCCTAGTTCATCCTATTTTGTCGGTTGTTTTGTACGGTTATTTATTATCATTATTATATGCGCGTATTCCAAGCAGTGTGACTCATTTATTTATTTTGACATTTGCCGCAATTTTTAAATATAGCTATTGAATGTCATTAGTAACAGATGCGTTTCAGTCAAAGCTTTTTAAAAAAGCACGTAAAGATATGGTAAATCAGCATAAATCACCACATTTCGTGTCGAACTATTTTGCATGACGAGAAATGGATAATGGAAATGGTTTATTTGATCGATACATTCAATAAACCAACGTAATCGGCAGGTTCTTAAAGTGAATAACCACAACTAAGTTTAAAAAGAGATAATCTCTTCTCTAACGATAAAAAACAATTGTGTGGTTTTATGAAACAACGATGCAAGTGAAACTTTTTGAATTGTAGGCATTTAACTGTAAATTTTGGGAAAATTATTCCATTAAGGGTATTAAAATTAAAATCACGTTCTTAATCTTATCTTAATAATTGGAAAATGGGAATGATAATGGGAAATCAATAGTAGACAAGATATCTAACAATAAATTTTAATTTCAATCTGAGAGTACGGAATACATAATAAATACAATCATTCTGATAATAGACGCATGTTAAAAACTAACAACAATATTTATTTAAACCATTGAATCATTTCGAACTTCAGTTATTCTATCAATAACTTCATCTTCGCTTTGAGTTTCACAGTCTATAGATATAATTGTCATGCACTTGCACGAATGAGTGAGAATATAAATGCTGCACGGTTAGCTCAAGCGAGTCGCCATATCGGTCTTAGATGCTCTGCAGAGCGCCTTTCAGTTTTACCCCTACTCCGCGGCTGGCTGTAATGCGACATGCGATAGATGGACAAAAAAATTTGAGGCGATGTAATAAAAGTTTCACTTAAAAAATTAATTTGGCTTCTGAGAATTTGGTCGATTTCATCCTCCCTAAAGCAGAAATTCGAATAGAATGATTTAAATTTGAATGACGTTTGAATTGAACTTACAATTAAAGACGAATACTCTGCAGTCATTGCGAAGGTTACCACGGTTCCTATTTCGGTTTGAATCGACTTACAGATTAGCTTTTCTCTTTACGTCTACAATAAAAACAAATTCAGAATTTGATTGGATGCCGTTCCGAATATTTGAATTCAATTGACGAACATTATACCTAATTTTAATGTTATTGTTAGTAAAAATGTACATTTTAAACATATACGTACAATAGTACAAAATTTTTCAGTTCAGTATGTACACAATAAGGTACCAGCGGTCTTATTGTTAAACATAAAACTCTAATCAGTTTACTTTTTTATCGAGATGGGTTTTGCTCTTCGGTAGTAGATACATATCTTGTTTTTGTAAGATCGGTTCATATTTTTTCAAGACAAATAGATTGAGTAATAGTGAGGAATTTATATCTAATTGATTATTTAATAGTAAATTGGTGTTCTTATATTTATTAATTTGCAGAGTGAGAATTTATAATTTTAAAATTCATCTTCAGAATTAAGATAATCAAGTGTTTCACATAATAAGAATGTATTTTTTACAATCAAATTAACAGAAAAGATAAAAAAATCTTTTGATTGTAAACATCTTGAGGAAGCCTTAGTAATGCGAAAAAATTATTGTTAAATGTTCCCAATTTAGTTTTACGGAAATTAACATTGATTTTATTTATAAACTGAAGAATAATCTTCACAGTCGCATCTCTTTGTAGGTAATAGTAAAATATTAACTTTAAATCTAGAGCAGATATAAGAAAATGAAAAATACAAATAAACCTTTTCTAATTCAGCAAGTTTTGCTATAATAGGAATAGCAATCAGTACTATCTTGAATAAGTTTTTTATCTCTCTGTTTCTACGAGGGGCTGTCCATAAATGACGCCAAAAAAAATTCATCAATTTTCAAAATTTAAAACAACCCTTAACTCTTCCCGTGTAACAGGACCGGCCTGACATCCTGACCTGATTTATTTCCAATGTTAATTAATTCTCTTTTCAATAAATAATTACATTTTTAATCAAAATTAACTTCGGTTATATAGGTTAACAAAATTGTTCTGGCATTGTCACTATTGCCAACATTCCAATTGTAAAATCATCTCGAAGCGCAAACATGACTCCTAGCTCCCCCCACGTAACAGCACCGTAACCTGTTTCCCTGTTCTCCCAATTTCCGTTACGTAATTTATGGGCATCCCCTAATGATGCTGTGAAGATGTTTCTATCTCTACTAACACTTCTACCTGATTTTCTTTTTCTATTATTAATTGAAAAAAATAATAAATAAATGTACGAAATAATTATACCAGTAACGCAAATTTTGAAGCCTTTTAACCCTCCCTCCCCCCTTGTAACGCGCCGTAACGTTTTTCTGTACCCCCTACCCCTCTCTAAACGTTACGTAACACTCAAGTGACCATTTTTACCTAAAAGTCGCAAAAGTTATGTTGCGCAAATCATGTAACATGATTTATATGTTCTGCAAACTTTTCTTTATTTTTTATTTTTTCATTAGCCGTTTTCCAAATTTCGTTGACATTTTTTTTGACACAGTTGGCAAATCTGCATGAGAGCCTTTATAGGCAAGAATAGCTGATGATATCTCCCTCTTTTAAAGACATTACAGTATGAACAGTACGAACTCACTTTAATAACACCGATTACAGCAATGTGCTTCTGCATAAACTCTAACGAATGCTGACAACGAAAAAAACATTAAATGACGTACAATACAATCGAGGGATTCCCCGTAAAACGTAAACGAAACGGGTTGCCAATTTGGAAGTTTTAATTCCCTAATTCTTTATTTAAAAAAAGAAACAATGTTACGTAACGTGTTGTAAGAACGTCCCCCTCCCGCTCCTGTAATGCATCGTAACGTTTTACGAGGCCCCCTCCCCCAAATTGCGTTACGTAATACTTGAACGCCCTCTCACGTTGATATAATAAATTGGGCACAATTATTCCTAGTTCATCCTATTTTGTCGGTTGTTTTGTACGGTTATTTATTATCATTATTATATGCGCGTATTCCAAGCAGTGTGACTCATTTATTTATTTTGACATTTGCCGCAATTTTTAAATATAGCTATTGAATGTCATTAGTAACAGATGCGTTTCAGTCAAAGCTTTTTAAAAAAGCACGTAAAGATATGGTAAATCAGCATAAATCACCACATTTCGTGTCGAACTATTTTGCATGACGAGAAATGGATAATGGAAATGGTTTATTTGATCGATACATTCAATAAACCAACGTAATCGGCAGGTTCTTAAAGTGAATAACCACAACTAAGTTTAAAAAGAGATAATCTCTTCTCTAACGATAAAAAACAATTGTGTGGTTTTATGAAACAACGATGCAAGTGAAACTTTTTGAATTGTAGGCATTTAACTGTAAATTTTGGGAAAATTATTCCATTAAGGGTATTAAAATTAAAATCACGTTCTTAATCTTATCTTAATAATTGGAAAATGGGAATGATAATGGGAAATCAATAGTAGACAAGATATCTAACAATAAATTTTAATTTCAATCTGAGAGTACGGAATACATAATAAATACAATCATTCTGATAATAGACGCATGTTAAAAACTAACAACAATATTTATTTAAACCATTGAATCATTTCGAACTTCAGTTATTCTATCAATAACTTCATCTTCGCTTTGAGTTTCACAGTCTATAGATATAATTGTCATGCACTTGCACGAATGAGTGAGAATATAAATGCTGCACGGTTAGCTCAAGCGAGTCGCCATATCGGTCTTAGATGCTCTGCAGAGCGCCTTTCAGTTTTACCCCTACTCCGCGGCTGGCTGTAATGCGACATGCGATAGATGGACAAAAAAATTTGAGGCGATGTAATAAAAGTTTCACTTAAAAAATTAATTTGGCTTCTGAGAATTTGGTCGATTTCATCCTCCCTAAAGCAGAAATTCGAATAGAATGATTTAAATTTGAATGACGTTTGAATTGAACTTACAATTAAAGACGAATACTCTGCAGTCATTGCGAAGGTTACCACGGTTCCTATTTCGGTTTGAATCGACTTACAGATTAGCTTTTCTCTTTACGTCTACAATAAAAACAAATTCAGAATTTGATTGGATGCCGTTCCGAATATTTGAATTCAATTGACGAACATTATACCTAATTTTAATGTTATTGTTAGTAAAAATGTACATTTTAAACATATACGTACAATAGTACAAAATTTTTCAGTTCAGTATGTACACAATAAGGTACCAGCGGTCTTATTGTTAAACATAAAACTCTAATCAGTTTACTTTTTTATCGAGATGGGTTTTGCTCTTCGGTAGTAGATACATATCTTGTTTTTGTAAGATCGGTTCATATTTTTTCAAGACAAATAGATTGAGTAATAGTGAGGAATTTATATCTAATTGATTATTTAATAGTAAATTGGTGTTCTTATATTTATTAATTTGCAGAGTGAGAATTTATAATTTTAAAATTCATCTTCAGAATTAAGATAATCAAGTGTTTCACATAATAAGAATGTATTTTTTACAATCAAATTAACAGAAAAGATAAAAAAATCTTTTGATTGTAAACATCTTGAGGAAGCCTTAGTAATGCGAAAAAATTATTGTTAAATGTTCCCAATTTAGTTTTACGGAAATTAACATTGATTTTATTTATAAACTGAAGAATAATCTTC